AAAAAAGAATTTATTTATTCAAATAATTTCATTTTCTACTTTTGTGATATATTCTCAAATACAAAAAAAAATTGCTCAATCATGTTCGAACTGCTTTTATATAAATTAGCAGTTTCAAAAAAAAGTAAAAAATATTTTGAAATGTCGAGATCTCATCAAATGTCGTGTCGGGTTCGGATGTGAGTTCCTATCCGAACCAGACAGGATGGGTGCCAAATACTTGACTGTGTTGCAAGACGCATTCATCCACTGTAAATCTCGGACAACCAGATTTCTAGATGCTAAAAGCCTGAAAAAAAAATCTGGCGGATTTCTGATATAAGGTTTTGAAAAATCCATGGCCTTCTATTCTGGGAAAGAGTTTACTTTATATTTTAATTATTGTTTTTATTTTTATTAATATCAAGGTATTCCACCAGTGTTAACATTAAATAATCGAATATTTAGTGAATTTGATGAAATTGCTAATTTAATTGAACTTAAAGTAAATTCTATTAGATTTTTTTTTTCTTTTGTAAATTTTATTTTTCTATTATGAATTAATCAATAGGGATTACTTAAAGTAGAAAATGAAGGAAATTCAATAGTGGATAGTTATTCTATTTTATGTACTGAAACACTTGGAAGTTTAATGGTTTGTAATATTATTTATTTTATTTTTTTGATTAAATAAAGATTTTTAGCTATTTTTAGAAATATTTTTTATTATGTGAAAAATCTGGATCGGTTAGTATGAATAAAAGAGATTGAAATATAATTTTATTCTATTGTATTGTTTTTATAACTATTAGACTTTATATCAATCATTTACATCTGTCTATCCATGGCCACTTGGTTTAATACTTTTTTTAATATATCGAAATCGTACAATAAAAAATTTAAAAGTAAAAGAAATTTGGCCATTAACTTATGAACAAGTATATATATATATATATATATAATTTTTTGAATGTTAATAATATGAAATAAAATTATTTAATTTTAGGCTTTAATTAAATTTGAAACAACTGTTAAAGCTCTTTCAAATAAAATTCAAGAGATTAATTCAGATTATTTATTTGGTGATGAGTATGTATCAACATACTGATATTTATGTAATGATTATTTTATTTTTATTTTTTAGTTTTACAAAAGCTGATGCTCATCTCTATGGTCATTTATATACAATTCTTCATACAAATATTAGTGAACATGAAAATCTACGAAATATACTTGTTAAATATAAACCATTAGTTGATTATGTGAATAATTTAGAAAGAGATGTACATGGATTAACCATTTTAGTTTCATGAAAAGTTTTGCGTTTTCTCCTTTCTTTGCGCAGATTAGATTGTTTGTTTGTTTTTTGACACAATCCTACTTAGTTATACACAGTTTTTTTTTATAGAACCTAGTGAAATAAACTTTATTATTTTGTCTAATTAAAGACAAAAATATCGGGATCGGTTTCTAAAATGAAGAATTGTTTATTTATGGTATCCGAATAGAGATGTACGGTTTTATGGTGTTTTAGTGCCGGTTCTGGTCTAGTCATAATAATTTCTTTTTTCAGTGCTTTTGGTCATAGAGTCCATCGAATTGGCCTGCGACCCGGACCCATGATCTCCAATCTACACATTTCTCAAACGACTCGTCTGAGATATATTTTGGGTGCACTAGTCGCCGAATACAAAGACAACTGGAAAAAAAGTATTTTGTATGTTCGGAGTGATTGTCCAATTCCGATTAGAAAATTTCATTGAAAATATCAAAGTACGATTCGACTGGATTCGGATGTGGACCCGAAGACTTCGGACCCGATAGACTCTAATGCCGAGTCTAGCTTAGAAAAAAGTTTCCAGAATTCATTTCTATCAAATATAAAGGGGAAGCGATCATTGATCGAACAATAATTAGTCGCAATGTAGAGTTGGTTGCATGTTTGACAGAAGTGTGGCTGCAATTTCGTTTTCTTCAAACCTCTATTTGTAGACATGTGATTCAATCGTATATAGCACCGTGTGAGGATGAAAGTGACATGTAAAAAATGAAGATTTATCCCATGAAATGGATTTGTAGATGATTTCGCTGATAGACAATAATTGAATGTTGACATTCATATTTTGAATTTATCGAAATGTTAGGAAAACTGTATTCACTGCCGAATAGTGAAAATTGTACCAGACAGAAACTCCAAGATAAGGAAAATATATAAAGGATTATAGGAAATTTTTCAAGCAACTACTACTTATTCTTGTGTAAGGCTTCATGCTTAGTTAGTAGAGTTCAGTAAACATTTGTATTTATACTCATATCTAATGTTTCTTATTCTTGAATAGATTATTAGTTATTTTCTAAACCTCACTAAGTTATCTCTCCATAATACTAAGAAAATTTTTTTTTTCGATTTTATTTTTCAGCATTGCGACTAATTGTCATAGTATCCAATGGTCGTAAGTTGAGCATTTAACTATAAACTTTAGTTCTGGTCTTAGCGACTTCTCTTATTCGTCTCGTATAGTTCAATATCCAATATATTGAAATTTTTTTATAATAAAATTTTTTTTATAATAATTCAATATAAAAGAATTAATTTAATGTTAATTAACCTAAGATAAATATTGTAAAATGATCGGTGTATGAAATAAAAGACTACAATTCGTCGAAAGTTTATTCAAGAAATTCAAAATAGTTGAAACAAAACTTGAAGTCATTTTTAATTTTATATGTTGCTATCATGATACAACTGAAAGCCTTGGATATACTGAGCCAATGTTCTTAATCTCGAATAACCGAATTCGTTTCCCTATGATTTCATTTTATCTATCTTTCTCTAATGAATTAAAATCGATTGCAATTTACGTTATTCACATATACTGTGAACTGTTTACAAAGTTCAATTTTGTGAAATGAAATAGCAAAAAGATGAAAACTACTGTAGATAAAATCAATTGTTGTAAACTATATTCTCACAATTATTTCGTTTTAAAAATGAAACCGGATTTAAAAAGATCAAAGCTACGGTTAACACAAAACTTTAATCAGAATCGAGACTGAGACTAGAACCAACAATAAAAATTCACCGGGACCGGGATAGAAAAACCAGTGATTTTTCAGGTCCTGGCATCTCACCGACAGCTAGTAGAAGAAGAGGGAAAAAAAAGAGATGCATTTTTCGCTTCTGAAGTGTAAACAAAGGCTATCACGAGGTTTAAAAGCTAATAAATTAGAGCGCCGTTAATCTGAATTCAATACACACTCGGAAAA